CCATGGGGCTTCTTAGTTCTTTGCATTCTTAAAACCACCTTTTTTCCTTTGCTTTCTTATACTGTGCCTGTCAGGCATAAGAAATGGCTCTGTCCAACACGGAGTGTAATCCTGAGGGCCAGCACAGCTGTGGAGCTCTGCCAGGTGACATTGGGAATCCCTCTTTCTCAGCAGCTTAGAGCCATCTGTCACCTGGAAACTCCTTACCTGGGAAGCCTCCCCTTCCCCTACCAAATGGCCTTCTCCAGTCTCTTCTAGAATGGTCTAGAAAACTCTAAACTTTCTTGCTTTACTGTATGGAGCATTTCGGTTCTGTTTGATTCATTCTACCACTTTCCAGGCCATGCTGCAGGGCTTCTTTTCCTGCCAAAAAGATCCTCAAATGGTGTTTTTGTTAAGCATGAGGCCTGTACTATGGATCTTAAAAATGACAGACTTAACCTGTACACTGTCATTCATAGGCAAGGCTCCCTAGCCAGTCTCTGCAGGCCCCCGGGAGAGATTTAATTTTCCCACTGAAATGAGTTACACACCTCTCCAGCTCTGCTTCTGCCACCCCCCACATAGAAAGCAGAAGTGTTCACACAGTCACTTTGATTTTGGGGAAGAGTTGCAGGGTGCCGGAGCAGTGAATGAGTGGATGAGGTCACACGGGAATGTGTTTACGAGCCCGCCTTTCCACTGGATAGCACTGGCAGCAGCATTCACTGTATTTTTGATCGCCTAAAGACACTCACGAAAGAGAACTTCCAGAACTGCTTCAGAAAGTAGCAAGAATGGGATGAGTGTGTTCAAAGTGAGGGAGAGTATTCTGAGGCAGAGTAATAGCCGTGTGTCTTTTACTGTCATGAATTTGTAATTTAAACATTCACCAGCTATTTTGATGTCCTCTTATAAAAGGGCAAGTTCTGCCGACACAGCAGTGACTTGAGCAAGGTGAGGGACACGGCCGGGACAACATCTGCTACAGCTGCCCACATTCAAACATTAATGTGTTTCTTACGGAATCTGGTTTTCTGGCTTCTCATAAACGTATGAGAAAATCTAGGCTCGAGTTCCTGCACCGAGTCAAGTGGCAGCCCCGCGAGGGACCTGTGTGCCCTTTATCACGCCACTGTCCCCACCTCTAATGCCTCCTGCTTCAGGCCGACAGCCAGGCTATTGTTGGTTTCCCTGGGCCGTATCATCTGCCAGTGCCCATGATGGATCCTGGCACTGCCATCCTTTGACGAGGATGCTCGCCAGGGCCAAGCAGCCTTCAGAGCTGGCATTTGATTTCCTGGGACCAAATCTTTAAATATGCAGCTGTAACCAGAACCCAGAGACACTCTTGACGGCTTGCCCAGCCCTCATTATGACATTTAGCCTGTGATTGATATCGCGTGTGTCATGGAGACCTTGGCAGCTAATCTTGGGGTGGGATCTATGGAAACCAAACAGAACAGATTTGTCTTCCCTGCCATTTTGGCTGTGATCTGGGAAACAGACTCTCTTGGCCTCTCCGCGAATGAGGTATCTGGGAGCCGTGCAGCGAGGGATGCACACAGCCGCCCTCAGGATTTGGAAAGATTACAGGTCTGCGGTTTCTGGACGGCTCCTCGCTTTGTTCTCTTCCCCACCCAGCGGCGCTGGAGGATAATGGGTCCCAGAGCCCCTCTGCGTGCCAAGCTGCTCAGGGTGGACCGCGCCACTTCCGCTTCTGTCTGGAAATGCAGCCGGGCTTTCAGCTCAGAGGCGGGGCCGGGAGGCTTCTCTGCAGTCGGGTGGAGGAGGCACAGCCCCCCAAAGGGGAGTCAGCCTGGTGAGCGAAGCGGGGCAGAGCAGATGGAGGCTCGGAATGCAGTGGCTCCAGCGCCGCCCCAAAATTACCTCTTCCGAAGCCTCCTCTAGAGGTAGGCAGGTCCAAAAGGGCCTAAGCCACCGCATTTCAGCGCATGCACCCGGCTTCTCGCTGCAAAACAAGAGCGGGTGTTGGGCACCGGCTGAGCTTCAGGCGCGGCAGAATTAGAGCCCTGGGGGGCCGGGCGCAAGGAAAACTATCACTGTGCGCTTAGGAGACCAGGGTTCTGCACTGGGGCCTGCTGGAGGGACCCCTGTTACCCCTTGGGACGACTCCCCTCTGGGCTGGGCCCTGGATCAGGTTGGGCCTTGGCCCTTGGTGGGAGGGGGCACAGGCCCAGCTCGCTCCCTGCATGACCTGCAGGGCTGACCGCCCTGCTCCACAGCCCCGCTGAGTCCCCACAAGGCCCCTCAGGCCTTTGTCACTCATCTCCCTACTCATTCATTCATTCATTCGTTCATTTCTGCCTGAGTCCATCTGTTCACGAAGCTATTTCCTCATTCAACAAACACTTCCCAGCCAGGTGCAGCGGCACACACGTGCAACCCCAGCACCTGGGAGGCTGAGGCAGGAGGGCTGATGCAAGTTTGAGGCCAACCTGGACTACACAGTGAGTTCAAGGTCAGTCTGACATAGCAAGACCCTGTTTCAAAATGCAAAAACAAACACACACACACAACCCAAGCAAATGCTTCCCTAGCATGTCCTGTGTTTCAGACGCTGAGGCTACAGAGATAAAAGGCACTAAGCTCGTCCTGCCTTCTCTCCTCCCTGCATCTAGGGTAAGTTCTGGCTCCACCTCAAAGAGAAGATGGAAGGCCCCTTCCCACCCTTTTCTTCTCAGAAGCGCCCCCTTTGGCCACATCTTGGGCAAATACTTAGTGTCAGACTCACTTGTTAAAACTTCTAGGCTTCCATCTCTCATCCAGAAACCTCCATCTTTAGCGAGTACTGGATGGCACTGACGCACAGTCTTTAGGCCACTCTTTTTTTCTTTTTTCTTTTGTTTTTTTTTTTTTTCTTCTGGCACCAGGAATCGAACTCACGACCTTGCGCTTGCCAGGCAGGCACTTTGCCTCTGAGCTAAATCCCCAGCCTGTTTTTTTGTCTTTTTGAGACAGGGTCTCGCTGTGCAGTTCAGGCTGGCCTTGAGCTCACTTTGTAGCCCAGGCTGGTCTCAAACTCAGAACGATCTGCCTGCCTCAGCCTCCCGAGTGCTGGGATTACAGGCATGCGCCACCACGCCCGGCTAGCCCACTCTTTGAGAGGCCCCAAAGACGGGTCCCTTCTGCCACGCACTGTCTGCACCCCCACCCCAGGAAGCAGGCAGCGCAGGAGGAAGTCACAAATTCTGGCTTCCTGTGATCACCACCGACACAGAGGGATGTGCTAGCCAGGGATCCTTTGACGCATCTACTACGGACTTGGTAAAATCAGAGCCCCCAAAGCTGGGTTTCAGCCCTTTCTATTCCTTTCTACATTTTTATTATTCTTAAGAGACAAGGTCTCACTATATTGCCCCAACTGACCCTGAATTCCTGGGTTCAAGTCATCCTCAGCCTCAGCCTCCTAAGTAGCTGGGACTACAGGAGCGTGTCACTGTGAACAGCACCTTTTTTTTGAACTGTTATTACAGAGAATTCCAAACACACACAAGCGGAACAGTAACTCCCTGTGACCACCGTTCAACCCCGACCACCACCGCCCCCAGCCCATTGTGCCTCACACAACTGCACCAACAACCTGCCCTCCAGCTCCGAGCCGTTGCACTACTCTGGCCATGTTGTTTTGACACAAATCCAAGGCATTGTAACATGTTATCTGTATTTCTGTACACATTTCTTTTTTTTCTTTGGTGTTGTCTGTTTGTTTTTCTTCTGGTACCAGGAATCGAACTTACGACCTTGAGCTTGCCAGGCAGGCGCTATGCCGCTGAGCTAAATCCCCAGCCCCTTCTGCACCCATTTCTAAAAGATAAGGCCCGTGGAACAATTTCCCTGCCTTCACAATTTCCTATCATGTCTTGACCCCAAGCACGCAACTAAAACCATTCTCATTGGTCGTGAGCTCTTCTATCAGAAGGCGAATAATGTCTGATTGTTTTTTGGTTTTTGAGACAAGGTTTCATTGTGTAGTTCAGCCTGGCCTTGAACTTGTGACAATCCTCCTGGCTCGGCCCCCCAGGTGCTGGGGTTACAGGTGGGCACCACCATGTCCAGAGCTGTCTCTTTTTATTCTTACATCGTTAGCAGTCAACGCTGGGTGCCTGGGTCCAGTCCCTCGCTGGATGTTGTAAAATGGTGCATCTTCCCTTCTTATCTGAAACTTCATCAAAGACGAAATTTCCCCCATCTATCCAGTAGTACAGTTTGTGTCAGAAAGGAATGATACATGCTAGACTGTTTATCCAGCTTCAAAATAAAGAGCCACTTCCTGAGGACTTTCCAACAGTGGATAATTAAGTCCCTTATCATTTCAATGTGTAACGCATTTCAATCCACCAGAGTTATTTTATTATTCATGTTCAAATGGTCTGTTTTAGATAAGTGGGAGCCTTTTCAAGCAGGATGCCGAGTGGTCTTTGATCCTGGCCGGCTCTGAAGCTCCCAGCCCTTTTCCTTTCCTGAGATCGCTGCCCGCTGCTCACTGCGTCCCCCACCCCCTTCCTCTCCGCGGGCGAGGGCTGCGTGCTACCAGCCTCTTCACTGCAGGGTCCGCCTCGTCCGTAAGGTGGGGATAACAGCACTGCCTACCTCATACAGCTGTTCAGGTTAAATGCGTTTATAATCGTGAAGGACTTGGAACAAAACAGTGTCTGCACAAAGTCAGTATTACTTAAGTACAGTTCTCCCTCAGTACCACAGGGGATGGGCTCCAAGAGCCCCCCCCATATCCTGATGGACAGGGGTGTGGGATTTGCATCTAGCCTGTGCACACACTCCTCCGTCCTTTAAACCAAGCCCAGGTTCCTTATAACCTAACGCGATGTGTGTTCAGTGTAAACAGTTGTACACTGTCCTGTTTAGGGACTGTGTCAGGGAAAGAGTCTGTGCATGTTCAGAGCAGGAGCAGATTTTCTTTTTGGACTGTTTTCCATCCTCAGTGGGCCTCCATTGATTTGGAAGAAGCGGCAGTGGAACGTTGGCTATACCTGTCAGAAGATACTATTCCCGCCCCTCCGCGCCCCTGTCGCCCACCCTCTCCCACCCTCCAGTCTCAGAACTGAGGGCAACGCCCCTCGCCAGGCTGTGGGACCGGCATGACGTTTACTCAGCTTGGGGAACGAACAGGCCCTACCCCACGCTGACTTCATTTCCTTGGGGACAATAGCAACTTCTCCACATTCCACCAGCGGAGCCCGCCTCGCTCTCCCACTTCGTGCCCCTACCAATGGGCACACACGGCTTCTCCCTGCTGAGAAATTAGGGCAGCAATGACCAGCCTCCTAGTGTGACACCTGCAAACGTGACCCGAAGGGTCCCAACCAGCCGGCCAGCTTGCACACGGGCAGCTCTCCCCGTGCCCAGGCTCCGCAGCCCTGCCTCCGTGCGTGGCAGTGGAGCCCCGGCCAGGCCCGCTCTGGACCCAGCGAGCGCCTTCCTGCGGGCCAACAGTCCCTGAGGATGTCAGGTGGGCCAAGGCCTGCAGTGTCACGGACCTCCCGGGCCTTGCGATGTGGGTTCAGAATGGTCTAAACTAGCAGCATCCAGTCAGTGAAGGAAAAAGTAGGCACGAAAGAAGTAAAGCCGAAAAAGAAAGGTGGGAAGGGACTGGGTGCTGGGAGATTTCTTGGGCCCAAATCCCATCTGTGGTCTGCTGCGTGCAAATCCGCCTCCGCCCCAGTGCGCCTGGCTCTGCAAACACTGGAATGTTGGGACGGTCGTTTAACTGCCACCGGGGCCGCCTCCACCCACCTGTGCGCCCGGACGAGTGTGCAAGAACCCGGCAGGCGGGGCTCAGGCCGGCCAGCTTCAGCTTGGCTTCTTCCCGCTGTCCCTGTAGCACCCGTCCCTGCCCCAGCGCCCCCAGTAACCCCCATCCCGACCTCTCTTGTGACCAGCTGTAGAAAGGAGAGCAAATCCCTTGGCTCCAAAATGACATCTGGAGACGCGAAGACAAGCCGCAAGAATGCCTACCCGCCTGCCAAAGGGCTGTCCCCGCGGGCACAGGAGGCCGAGGCCGAGGCCGAGGACTACTGCACACCCGGCGCCTTCGAGCTGGAGCGGCTCTTCTGGAAGGGCAGCCCCCAGTACACCCACGTCAACGAGGTCTGGCCCCGGCTCCACATCGGTGACGAGTAAGTGCTCAGGGCGTGCAGCAGCCTGCCCCCTGCTGGCTCAGCCCTCATCCTGGCCATGACCTTTGGCTTTGGGTTAGTTGTGCTGTGCCGACCTTGTGTGGCTACATCTTCACTTTACAGAAAGGCCAGGACAGGGGCTCATTTCTGTCTTGCGTAGGCGTCCAGAGGAGGGCCTGGCTGCAAGGTGGCTACAGGGTGCTTGACTGCTGATGTGGGATCCCATCAGCAGGACTGGGAGGTAGAAAGACAAAAAGAACAATTTTCCAAAAGGAAGTCCTGCTCAAGACTTCCTCTGCCCCTAGCTGCAAGGGAGGCTGGGAACTGTAGTCTTTTATTTTAGGTGAGTGTTACAGCGGCAAGAATAAAGTCAATTGTCAGATTGATGGCATAGGCCAAGCATCCAGAATGACGGTCAGGCTAAGTCGTGGTCACACCCCCTTTTCTAGGTTTTACAGCCACTATGCCCCACTCTGCAAAAAAGCTGAGAAATGCCTACTATAGAACCTACTACTGCTACCAATGGCTGTCATTCACGGGGCAGGATACCCAGGCACAGCGCTAAGCACCCCACATATGTGGTCTCATTTCATCTTCAGGATGACCCAGTGAAAGAGACTATCGAGGGAAACTGAGGCAGAGAGCAGTTTAATAAGCACCCCCAGGCCCCACAGCTTGGTGGTGCAGAGCTAGGGTTCAAGTACAGCTTTACCTGACCCAGAAGCTCCAACTCCTTCCTCAGTCGTCCAGAACTTTGGCTCATGTTCCATCTCCCCATGGAGCTGATAGAGCAGAGGCCCTGCCTGTGGGGTCTTAATACACATCTTGCTGCTTTAAGAAGCAGAAATAATTAGTGGGTTGTGGCAGCACATGCATGGAATTCCAGCACTCAGGAGGCTGAGGTAGGAGGATCACCGGGAGTTCCAGGCCAGCCTTGGCTATATAGCAAGTTCAAGGCCAGCCTGAACTACATAGTGAGACCCTGTCTCAAAAACAAGCCTCCTAGCCGGGCGTGGTGGCACACGCCTGTAGTCCCAGCACTCAGGAGGCTGAGGCAGGAGGATCATTGTGAGTTCGAGATCAGCCTGGGCTACAAAGTGAGCTCACGGCAGGCCTGAACTGCACAGCAAGACCCTGCCTCAAAAAGACAAAAACAAAACAAAACAAAAACAAGCCTTCTAGAAATAACTACCTAGCCAGGAGAATCACCCAAGGCAGAGACTCCCTTACTTTTTCCTTCATTTTTTTTTTAATGTGAGGAGTTATACAAATTACACATGCCTATAGTCCCAGGCAGGAGGATCTCAAGTTTAAGGCCAACCTGGGCAACATAGCAAGGCTTGTCTCAAAATAAAAAGTACAGTAGAGCACTTAGCTGGCATGTGCATGGCCCTGGATTCAGTCCTTGGATCAAAAAAGTCACATGCTTTTTTTCTACTAATATGAACTAAGTAAGAGGTTACAAACAGTTGTGTGATCGCTTCTTAATTCTACCACTAACCAGTATTAAGTTCACTAACATATTTGTACTACTTCTTGTGTGCCATTGCGAACATAAGGAAACTTACAAAGGGTTTTCATTTCTTCTACACAATACTTCAATTTTTTTTATTTTGTGTGGTACCGGGAATCAAACTCAGGACCTTGTGCTTGCCAGGCAGGCGCTTATGCCGCTGAGCTATATCCCCGGCCCTACACAATAGTTTAAAAAAGGGACATCACCACACATACTCTACTGTACTTTGAATATTCTGTAACGTAATTGTTTACCCGATCATTTTCCAGTTGAGGACGTTAGGGTCTTAAGTGAGGTATAGAGAAATTCAGTTTTCTCTTTTGCTTTTAGCTGTGTTGGGATATAATTTATGTACCATAAAACTCATCCTTTTAAATGGCACTATTCAGTGGTTTTATGATACTTGCAGACTCGTGCGACCCGCACCATCATCTAATGTCAGAATAGTTCTATCACCTCCCGAGGAAACCTGGAACCATTACACAGCTACCCTTGTTCCTCCTTCCCCGGCCCCTGGCAGACAGCAGTCTACTTTCTGTTTTTATGGGGTTACCTGTTCTGGACATTTCATACAAATGGAATCAGACAGTATTCGGCCTTTGAGGTTTGGCTTCCTTTCACTCTGCATACTGCTCAGCGCTCACCCAAGTTCTAGCATGGATCAGCATTTTATCCGTTTAATATCAAATAATCTGTGTACAATTTTTTCAAATTTTCTGTAAATCTAAAATTAGTTTTTAAAAAAATACATACATACACATTTCAACCCAGAAATCACTTTAAACCAGGCGTAGTAGTGCACACCTGTAATTCCAGCACTCGGGAGGAGGCTGAGGCAGGAGGATCGTTGTGAGTTCAAGACCAGCCTGGGTCACAAAGTGAGCTCAAGGCCAGCCTGAACTGCATAGCGAGACCCTGTCTCAAAAAGACCAAAGCCCCCCAAAAACAAAAACAAAAACAAAAACAAAAATCACTTTAAGAAACATAATTCACAGATGTGAGTATTAATGTATCAGGAAATATGCACAAAATATCTATTATAACACTAGCAAAAAAAGAGGGGACCTGAATCTCATATCTTTTAATAATAAAATATTCAATAAATCTAGTAAATATATTTTCCTATTGTAAAAGTAAAATATATTCATCATATGAATGGGCAAGTATTAGTTCCCTATTTACAGTAAGATAATAAAAAAACCTCCCTCGTAGGGTTCCATGGATTGTGGTGGTATACGTAAAATAGTACACTTCCTAATACATAGGGAGCGTTCAATAATGATTAGCTATAATAATAAAAGACTTATTAGTAGAAGGAAGAAAACTTCAATGTATTTTAGTACCTTCCCTCCTAGACTTTCTGTGTATTATTTCTGGTTGAGTAACTAATTTGCTTCTATGTATCTGTAACTACATCGATTATCATTTTATCTCATGTTTTTTACCTAACATTATTCATAAATGGTTCTGTTATTATAGGCTTCTCATATTTGTAATTATAATAGATAATAATATATCAGAAGGACAGGAGACCTTGTATTCAACTACTTCCCTCTGGTTGAACATAATGGTTGTTTCCGTATTCTCACTTCTATAAACAGTACCTCAGCAGATGCTTTATGCACCAATGTTTCCATGGGTAGGGTCCTTTCCCTAGCTCTTCCTTAAAGACTGGGTGCTGGGGATTAAGGTGTTGACTTAGAGCCGTTCTGTGTCTTTGGCCTTGCTGGTCCCTTTGCCTAAATGTCTTCCCTTCCTCTCACCTCCTGGTCGATCTCCTTTCTGTGTCCTGTCGGGATCATTCTTCAAAGTTCACATGAGCCGGGCATGGTGGCGCATGCCTGTAATCCCAGCACTCGGGAAGCTGAGGCAGGAGGATTGCTGTGAATTCAAGACCAGCCTGGGCTACAAAGTGAGTTCAAGGCCAGCCTGAACTGCATAACGAAATCCTGTCTCGAAAAGATGAAAAAAAAAAAAGTTCACTCAAGTCCCTTCTGCCATGAAACTAGCTTTTTCTAATCCCCACAGAGAGAAGCACATGTATCTCTCTGTGTATTATATATTATATTTATCTCTCCTATGGCTGATAATGACAATGATGATGATGATGGGTTGTACTGAATTCTTTTTTTCTTTTTGTCTTTTTGAGACAGGGTCTCGCTATGCAGTTCAGGCTGGCTTTGAACTCACTTTGTAGCCTAGGCTGGTCTCTAACTTGCAGTGATCTTCCTGCCTCAGCCTCCTGAGTGCTGGGATTACAGGCATGCGCCACCACACCCAGCTTGTACTGAATTCTTACCCATGTCCCATGCTTTGTGCCAGGCTCATTCAGAATCCACAACAAAAACAAACAAACAAAAAAACAGAATCCACAACAACACTACAGAGGTACGTTATCACTCCCATTTTACAAATGGGCAAACCAAGGCTCAGAGTTCAGTCAGTCAGTCAGTCAGTCAGTCGGTTAGCCTTTCCTGGGCAACTTGCAGGGAGTTGAAAAGGAAAGTGAGATTCATCTGGCCTTCAAGTCACGCATACTACCAGCAAATCACAGAATGCAGACTGAACGCCAGCTCAAAACACTGATCAGTCAGCAAAAGCAGCAGCTTTGTGAGGAGAAAGGTAACTGGAAGGGCACTGGAAAGAGTGAAGGGCTGGAGTCTTGGTGCTGCCGACTGCAGCTGCGTGACTTTGGACATGTTAGTTACCTCTTCCCCTTCCCTGGCGATGCTGTCATGGGGCTTTTCTCAGGGGGTGAAGATTACCTGCCTGAAAACGGGCGTCAGGGCCGTGGCTGGCGTGCAGTAAGCACCGAGCCCGTGCTGGTATTAACATGGATCTGAGAAGGCTCACAGAGGGCACGGACTCCCAGCCTGGCTTTGGAGGATGTGTAGGGTTTCAAAGAAATTCCAGAGAGCGGGAGCAGAAGCCACCGCGGAGGTGAGAACAAATCAGGGGCTTTATCTGGACCCGACGGGACGAGCGGTAGGAGACACACTCTCAGGGGGTCTGGACGCAGCCCGGGGCCCACACTGTGCAGCTGGTTGAGGCTGTGATAATCTAGGCAGCCGTGCTGACACGCCCGTGGCCTTCCGTGCCGGCGGTGCACTTCTCACTCGTGTGACAGCCCAAGTGAGCAGCTGTGACCTGCTCCACGCCCCTGGAGTCCAGCCCCCACCTGCAATCTGCGGGGATAGTTTTCTCTCTTGCAACTGAGACAAGAGAAACGGAAAACCCTAACATGACGTAAAGGTGACGCGGGCTATTTCTGCCCACATTTCACTGGTCAGGACGCACATCCTGCCAAAGCGACGACAGGGCAGGAAAGTATCATCCACCCCTCGCGGCGGGCAGCAGCTACTCTAAATGGAAACCCAACGCACCACAGCTACCTGCTAAGGTGTAATGGCGTCGGGCAGCACCTTTGACCTTATGGGGCTTATGTCATAACCTCTAAAAATAGCTGCTGAGCAGGGTTTCGTGG